CTTTCAGTCAAGATCCATCTGACATCAGCAATGGTATCCCTCATTCCACGTCTTCTTCTGAATCCAGCTTGAACCTCTGGAAGTTAGAACAATGCAAATCAAAAGAACAATAAGATATCATCTTACAATAGCAATAACAGTAAAGTTCAAAAAAGCAGAGGACAATAAATGCTGGAGAAGACATGGAAAGACTGGGACCTTCCTACATCACTGGTGGGAATGCAAAATGGTCCAACCACTCTTGAAAACAGTATGGTACTTCCTCAGAAAGTTGGAAATAGAAATACCATATGATCCAGCAATTTCTCTACTTGATATATATCCACAAGAAATACGAGCCACAACACAACGAGTATCACATCTGGTGAGCAGATATATGCACACCAATGTTCATAGTAGCACTATTCACAAAAGCAAAAAGACAGAGACAGCCTAAGTGTCCATCAATGGAAGACTGGATAAACAAACTTTGGTACATACACACAATGGAATATTATGCTACCTTGAAGAATAACAAGGAAGCTGCAAGCCACCACATAACATGGATGAACCTTGAGAACATTATGCTGAGTGTTAGTCAGTCACAAAATGACAAATACTGCCTTGGACCACTACTGTAAAAGCTTAAGAAAGATACTAAAAAGGGGGGGGGCGAGTTCTTTGTTGGTTACCAGTGGAGGTGGGGGGCTTGGGGATTAGAAGCAGGGGACAGTAAAGCACAGAGTAGTGGGTAGACACATCATAGTTCGTGTGTTGAGGAAGAAGGGGGAGTGGGATGGAAGAACCAGGAAGATAAGGGAACCCTGAGGCAGGTTTGCATGGGCTAAATGGGACAGAGATAAATAGTGATGTATGCTCAACCTTGGAACAACAGGGCTCTGTGATACAGAGATCGAAGAATACTTTGAAGAGGGGAAATCATGTTAAGCTTCTTGACTGACTTATGAATATTGGTTTCCTTTGCCTACTATTGTAAAATAGACACTTGAGTGGGATCAAAAGGAATGTCAGAGAAATGATTACAGAAAGCTCATAATCCTGTCTTCAGCCTATGACTGATTGGAATACCTAAAAGGGGTTCTAAAACTTTCCAAGTGTAACAGGCTTCTTGCAGAGTCTTTGAAGTGTATAGGACCATAGGTGGAATCCTGAATCCCATCCAGAACCTTCTGAGGTGGGACATTTCCACTAGAAAGGACAAGCAGACCAGAAACAGCTAGAGCAATACAACATACATCTTCAAAATAAGATCAGAAGGAAAAATCCAAAGCAAAAATGGCAGTCTGATTGGCTACTACAAGAACAAGCAAATTGTTCCCTGGAGAGCCGATAAGGCAAGTAATCAAGTTCCTTCAGGACAAACCCCCCTCCAAGACTAAAACTCAAAGGGAACACATAAGCAGGCATGTAAGCTTGCTGATGACCATGTTGGCGTACTGGTGAGTAGAAGAGGGAGGGAAGCAGCAATGAATAAATGGTCTGGGTTCAACCATAGACTCTCATTGACCTGGAGATGAGAGAGAGAAGAGAAAGGACTGGTTGGTCCAAAGTGTGGTGAGACCTGGGGACTCCTGAGCTCATTGACAAGGACATAACCACAGAAGGCTAGAGCTGAAAGTGAAGCATCCGGCTGATATGAAGTGAGGGGAGATGAACAAGAACACCAAACTTGCAGATAGTACCCATTTGACCCAGCCTC